AGATTACAAATTTCTTAGTTAAAGAATATTTTAAGAGCTAAATTTATTAAAATGAATAATTTATGAACTTGATTATCAAATAATATTTTTAAATTAAAATATATTTGATATTTTTTTTTTGGGTACTACCACTAATAATTTAATAATAAACAAAATGAGTATGTAAAAAGCATTGTAGAATGTAAAATAATAAAATTTAAAAAGGTTTTTGCAGCTCGTTGTGAATGAACTATTAGTGTACAGTCTGCATGAGAAGTTAGGTTCGATATATTTCTTAATTGGGTTGTTTTTGTAGTATTTCTTATGAATTAAAAAAAAATGTTATATTCGACTTAATATAATTTGTATATTATCGATTCTTTTAAGTTTAGAGACGAGGCATTGAGTCAAGTTTAAAAAATTAGTGTAGTCAAAATTTAAGAACAAATTAGGATGAAACAAAATTAGTTCAATCATCCTTATATCTTTGTATGTATTTAAGTTAACATTTTAAGGGAAAAAATTAAAGTCTATTATCATTTTTTTAAATATTTTTCATACTAATATCAAAACTTATTTTTTTGGAAATAATTATTATTTATAATTTATTTTACATGATATCGTGAAAAATTATATTACTTAAATTTTGGATCAACCTAGTCTTATTATTTTACTTAGATCTTGTCCTTATTCAAGCTGAATATCATCAAATTCATTTAAGTTTAATTAAGTATGAGTTAGAGTTTGAAAATTGAGCCGATGAAAGTTAAGATCTAAAGATTCGTACAGTCAAAATTAATAGATGAGTTGGGTCAAACTCAAAAGAACGTGAATAAAAAGTCGAAATTGAAGATCTGTTTTGAAATTCTAAATTAATAATCTGTTGGTTGAGTAAAACCATATTCTTCCAACCAACCATACTAAAAGGGGAGAAGACGAGAAGTCATCACTGATGGACGAAAGTAGTGAATATATTATAAGAAGAGGTGTATTGATTACCATAAAACTGTCGACGATGAAATTGATGCATGGTTGTTTAAGAATGCAGTTCCAAACAAAGGTCAAAAATCAATTATTTGAAGTCATAGTCCATTTCTAAATATAAAAGGTAATTTTTTTAATTAATTAATTATATATATATATACATATTTATTTATTTACTTTCCTCTTAAAACAAACACAAACAAAAAAAATTTGGTGAAAAATGAAAAATTACGTTTATTGTCTTGTTATCACACACATCCATTTTCTGTGTCAACTGTCAAGCAGTGTAAGAATGTTCAAACTTACCAATTGAGTGCCTCTTTACAAGTAAATTATCCCTTAATCTGGTTTTTACAAAATAATGAAAACAAATTCACAAATTAGTAATTACGTTAATAACGTTGAAAAGTTCAAATTAATTTATAAAATATGTGGTCAAATGCAATAAAACACGTTGTGATTTACAAAATCAAGAATGGAAGAAAAGTGGAGATAGTTATCTGTTGGAAACCTTTACACCAATGTACATCCACATTTCTCTGACCAAATCATTGTTGACCTCGCATAATTTAAAGCACCGTGAGTTTTGAATTGATTATTTACTCTATTTAATATTAATTATTATTATTATTATTATATATACATATTTTTTTTCTATTTTATTTTTATCTTATATAGTATCACCGCAATTTTAGTTCAAGATTTTTATTTTTACAATTTTAATCTCTTATTTTATACCTACCACTTATACATTTGTTCGACAATTAAAAATGTTTTTACTCTATACTATAAATTACTATAATAAATAACTTTTTTATTTATTAAAAGCATGTTTATTTTTTATTTTTACAGCTTAAAAGCATGCATATTAAAACCTCGGTAATAGAGATGTCACAATTACTATGACGAGGAAACATGTGGGTCCTATAACTATGATTTTATTAAAGTAATGAACTATAGAATATAGATTTAATAAATAGGGAAATACAATAGACGTGGAAAATATATGTCGGATTTTTTAAAATATTTTTTTAATAAATATTTATTAAAAAAAACTAAGAAGATAAAATATATTAAACTTGATTCATAAGATAAAATCATAACTTAAATCAAAATAAGTTAAAATCATCTTTTAGATAAGCTAAATCATAGAAATTTTATAAAATTTAAAATGGATGGATTGTTTTTAGCTTTTAACTTAATTAATTATTAAAAAATATAAACTTATGAAAAATTTGATAGATAACAAATTTTTTATGAATGAGAATCATGATTTATGGGATCATAAATTCTGAAAATCATAATTCCTAGAAAATATGAAAATTTCTTTAATTTAACATTAATGTTTTTAAGAATGTTTAGAAATGTTACCTTGAAATTTATGCTTTTATTAGACAACATGACGTTTTTAACACTTTAAAAAATTAGTTTCTCACCTTTTTATAAGAATAATTTTGTGAGAAATCTATATAAAAATCATTACCACAAAATAAATATAAAATTGTTTAAGTTTAATCAATAGTTAAATTTATATTTTAAATATATAACTATTTTAAATATTTGGAGTGGGGATTTATCCACCAAAATGTCCTACTCAACTTGAATAATATTATCTTCAATAAAATAATATACAATACTTATAATGTATACTAAAAAAAACTTTTGAAAAAACCTCAAATTTGTTTTGTCTTCTAATTTTTTTATTCTTACAATTCAATTTTTATCAAGAAGTTCATTCTAAACATAAATTTAATAAAATCAATTTTTTTCTTGTAATTAAATTATTATTATTATTATTACTGTACACTTTTTCTCTTTCTAAAAAAATAATCTCATTACCGTTACCGGGGAAGATCTAAAATTTAAAATAACTAGAAGATTTTATCGATTACAGGTAATTTGTGGGGTAGACTCAAAATAATTTTAGAATATTTAAACAATGCATGAAAATGTTAGATTATTATTTAAGAACTATAAAATAGTATTAAATATATTGATTGATGGTTTTTTAATATAATATTAATTAATTACTTATTTTTTATTTATATGTCTCATATTTAGAAAGTGATTATTATGTTATATTATTTTTAGTAAAAAAAACGAATTATAACATTAATTTTATTAAATCACAATTCTTCTTCATCTATTTATTGTCTTCTCTTAATCTATGTGAAACATCTTAAAATGATATTTATTATACAATGGAGAGTAGCTTTTTTTTTTTTTAACGATAGAAAAAATTTGATTATTTCAATAATTAATTATGAGTATGTTTTATTTTGATTTAATAAGGAGATATAACTATTTTTTACCAATTCAATCTTTATAAGAGTAAAATGGTATTTTTGATTTGAACAACATATGTCTAAGTCAAAAATTGAATCCTAATTCTTGGTAAAGGATTAGACATGTTAAACCACTTGAATATGTTTAAATACAAATTAGAATTGATTTGTAGAGTTTCTCTATTAAAAAATTCTTTATATTTAGTAGAAAAATTCTAAAAAAAACCCTTTGAAAATTATATTTAAACAAACTCTGTATATTTAAATAATTATTGTTATCATAATCAAAATGTTTTCTTTGATAAATTTATTAAAGTGTGATTTTAAGATATGTAATTTTGTTTGAACAAAAAAATCATTTTTTTTTCTTCAGATAATAGAAGGTATGTATGAAGGTGAAAAGAATTTTTTTTTTCCAAAATAATAAGTTCAAATTTTTAAAAGCATGAAAATAACTTTTTTTTAAAAAAAAATCTATAAAGTTCATCTATTTGACTATTTCTGAATTTCCCTAAACATACGACTTGTTCTCTCTTTCTTTTTTTTCATATAAAAAAAATTGTCCTAATCATGCTCAAAATACCCAACGATCTCCACATATATAATCTACGTAAGATTACATTATTTTGATAAAATCTTGAATGAGTATACGTATTACGTGGACGACTACCACTGTTGTCAGCCATTTAAGATTAACCATGGCATGGAGCATGGAGTAACATACTTAGGTTGTAGTAAGAGTGAATAGATATACTTTTATTTTAATTATTAAATTATTAGTATATATTTAAAATATTATATTTTATACTTTCTAATTTTATATATTAAATTCATTAATAATTAATTATTTTTAATATTTATGTTTTATTCTTTGTTTATATAATGATTAATTTTTATTCTCAAAATAAAAGATGCCTCAACTAACCTTAAAGTCTTAAATCTGTCATTGTGGATTACACATAATGACTCATGTCGTAAAAAGATACAAGAGTTAACGGAAGTTACTTCATTTAGATGTGCAATCGAAACACATGTTAAACTTTGTAATATTAATTAATTTAAAAACGCAATGAAACAGTTATAAATTAGTATATTAAAATTCATTCCACTCAATTTTAAGCTAGACAAAAACTAAAACTCGTCAGCATAAAAGTTGATTTCAAACAACAAACATTCAACTTCTTTTAGAATCCATTTTCACGTGAGCAGAGACTCAAATAACAAGAATAATAGTTACCAAAATAATAATAATAGAAGATAAAAAACACTAAAAGCTCTCAAAACTCTAGATCTGTCTTGAAATTCTGCATAAAGACTGTTGGTTGAATAAACAAAATTTTCGGTTACGCTTTCTTTTCAAAGCAAGCACAATCGTATAAAGAATCGACGTGAATCTGAGTTACGTACTAGTAGTTTCCACTTACCATAAATTTAAAACAAAAAATTGAAGGATGCAACAATCGTAATAGAACCTGAAATGAGAAGACGCAGAAATTATAAAAAAGCGAAAGTGCATCTTCGTACGTGCGGTGGTTATGCAGTACGTACAGAAAGGGGAGCTGTGAATCTAGGGTGGGGTAGGCCACTCCCTACTCCCTAGTAGCTTAATTAACCCTCAACTTGAAAAACACGAAAAATAAAAAAAGAAAAAAAGAAAAGAAAAAAGTTACAGAAGAAAAGGACATGTCTTGTTGTCAGAGCTTAACGATTCATATAATAACGTCCCATCCCATCCAGGGGCTTGGCTTATAAAAAAGAGTAACGAGATAGAAAGCGCGTTTGACCTCGTAAATAAAATCTCATTCTCCACTCAGTCCCAAATCTCACATAAACCCAACGCATTCATTCGCATATTTATTTTGGGTTGAGCAAACAACAAACCCAACCCAACCCAACCCAATTCCAAGCGATGGGTGACATAGTAAAGCAGATATTGGCCAAACCGATCCAGCTGGCAGACCAAGTCACCAAAGCCGCCGACGAAGCCACCTCCTTCAAGCAGGCATGCGCCGACCTCAAGGCCAAGACGGAGAAGCTGGCTCTCATGCTCCGGCAGGCGGCGCGTGCCAGTTCCGACCTCTACGAGCGACCCACGCGCCGGATCATTGAGGAAACCGAACAGGTCCTCGACAAAGCCCTCTCCCTGGTCCTCAGATGTCGTGGCAACGCGCTCATGAAGCGCGTGTTCACCCTCAACCCCGGCGCCGCCTTCCGCAAAGTGTCCTCCCACCTGGAGAATTCCATCGGCGACATCTCGTGGCTGCTCCGCGTCTCGGCCCCCGCGGACGGTCTCGGCGGCGACTACCTCGGCGGGCTGCCCCCCATCGCGGCGAACGAGCCCATCCTCTGCCTGATCTGGGAGCAGATCGCGGTCCTCCACACGGGCCCCACCGAGGAGCGGGCGGACGCCGCCGCCTCCCTGGCGTCCCTGGCGAGCGGCAGCCAGCGGTACGGGAAACTGATCCTGGAGGAGGGCGGCGTGGGCCCCCTGCTGAAGCTTCTGAAGGAAGGGAAAGGCGAGGGTCAAGAGAACGCGGCACGTGCCATCGGGCTCCTTGGGCGTGACCCCGAGAGCGTGGAGCACGTGATCCACGTGGGCGCGTGCTCCGTGTTCGCGAAAACCCTGAAAGAAGGCCCAATGAAAGTCCAAGCCATGGTGGCCTGGGCCGTGTCGGAGTTCGCCAAGAATCACCCCAAGTGCCAGGACCTCTTCGCTCAGCATAACATCATTCGCTTACTCGTTGGCCACCTCGCTTTCGAAACCGTCGAAGAACACAGCAAGTACGCCATCGTCAGCATGAAACCCAACTCCATCCACGCCCTCGTCATCGCCAGCAAAAAGGAAGATCCATTTCACCCACTCGATAAACAACCACCCGTCCCTCACCCCCTCGGTGAAAGACCCCGCAATCTCCACAGAGTTATCACTAGCACAATCGCAATGCACGCCGCCACCAAACACGGAAACGAAACAAATCCCAATCCCAATCAGAATCAGAATCAGAATCAGAATCAGAATCAGAATCACCAGCGAAACTACTCACATTCGGGGATTAACATGAAAGGAAGGGATCTGGAGGATCCTGGAACAAAGGCCAACATGAAGGAAATGGCAGCGATGGCTCTGTGGCATTTAGCCAAGGGAAACTCGGCGAATTGTCGGAGCATTACTGAGTCGAGAGCGTTGTTGTGTTTCGCTGTGCTCCTGGAGAAGGGAACGGAGGCGGTGCAGTACAATTCGGCGATGGCGGTGATGGAGATTGCCGCGGTGGCGGAGAAAGACGCGGAGTTGAGGAAATCGGCGTTCAAGCCAAACTCACCCGCTTGCAAGGCCGTAGTGGATCAAGTGGTGAAGATAATGGAGAAAGCGGATTCGAAGCTTCTGGTTCCCTGCATAAAGACGATTGGGAATTTAGCGAGGACGTTCAAGGCGACGGAGAGTCGGATGATTGGGCCCTTGGTGAGGCTTCTGGACGAGAGGGAAGCGGAGGTGCTTCGGGAGGCGGCGATTGCGCTGACGAAATTCGCGTGCACGGAGAATTACCTCCACGTGGACCACTCGAAGGCCATCATAAGCGCGGGTGGCGCCAAGCACTTGATTCAGCTTGTGTACTTTGGGGAAGAGATGGTTCAGATTCCGGCGCTTGTGTTGCTTTCGTACATCGCAATGCACGTGCCGGATAGTGAAGAGCTTGCTCAGGCTGAGGTGCTCGGAGTGCTGGAATGGGCCTCCAAGCAATCTTCCATTGCCCATGACCAAACTCTTGAGGCCTTGTTGCTTGAGGCCAAGAGCAAGTTGGAGCTTTACCAGTCTAGAGGCCCTAGAGGTTTCCATAAGTTACTTCCATAGGACCAACCAATACAATTATTTGTAAAGCCTTTTTACTCATTCATATTTCTTCTGCTGTCTATACAATCCATATGCCTTTTCAACCCTGTTAATCATTTCACTTGTTATCTTCTAAAGTAGATCGCTAAGTGTTGCAGGCTTTTTACTATTCTTCGTTTTAGAAAAACACTGAACAGATAATATTTTATTGCTTTGAATGATTCCTCGGGTTTTGGAGGCGAATAGAAAGATAGACAAGCATCGCAAGTGTAGTTGACCTGAGTTTTGGCAAAGATTCCACCGCTACAGTTGGGTTGGACCTTGGACGTGTTCAAACTAAACCCACGTCAGCTTAAATTCAATATATGTTGATTTCATCGTGCCATAAAGTTGCTTTTTCACAAACATTAAATATAGTTAACTTGCAATTTTTTTAACCATTTTCTCTTATGCCATGCCATGCCATGCGGTAAGTAAGAAAAGCACCATTGACTATTCTTTAGAAAGCGGAACCAGGAATTCGATCATAGCAGGTTGCAGAAAGCTTCTCAGCAAAATCCCATGCATTATGGAAGCTAGCTGCTATACGAAACGCATAATCTTATCAATTATTGGTTAATTGCCTGGGAAACCGTAAATACTGAATAAATACACAATGAAACTGAAACCCAAATCAGATGGAACACCTATGGAATATGGCAAAATGAAAAGGCAATCAAAACATAACTAAATCTTTTAGCCGTAATTATTATGAACATTCTAAAAGAAACGCTTTGACTAAGCGTTAATGTTACACATGGAGTAGTAGTTTTAACTAGTCAAACAAATATGTACTCTTTTTTTGACTGATCAATCACCACCTTCAAGACCTTCAAGACCGTGACCAAAATAATAAACCAATCACCACCTTGAAAAGTCACCAGAAACCACACAACATTTGGACAAAAAAGTGAACTATAAAGCTTGGCAAAATCAAGCAAAATTTTGGTGGTGAATAAAACATGTAAAATTATTGCTTTTGGATATTTGTGCAATGGCCAGCGCCAAACTAATCCAATTTTCAACCGGGGATTTCTGACATACTAAGGGGTGTATTGGTTTAGGATTTCGTAGGATTTTAAAAGACTTTTTTTGAGTAAAAAAGTCCATTAGTATTCAATCAGGATTTTATGTCACTTAAAAACAATCCAGTGGTATTCAATCTGGATTTTCAGGATTTTTTAAAGAGTCCATTAAAATCCACTGGTATTCATTTGAGATTTTTTACAACTTAAAAACAATCCATTGGTATTCAAAAATTTAAGGATTTTAAAGGATTGTTGTGTGAGAGGGATTTTGAAAGACTTTCTAGTGTTATCTATAAATACCAGATTCATAAAACAATCCCATCCAAACCCATCGGATTTTGAAGGATTGTTTGAAATGATTTTTCAAGTGTTTTAAGAATTTTCAAGTGAGTTTTTCATCTTTTTTTTCTATGCTCCTGTCTTCTCCATTTTTTCTCTACTAATAATACTACACTATTGTTCATTGCTCATATATAATACTATTCTCATACCATTCTCCTATTTTGTGAAACTCTAATATGTAAATGATAGTGTCATTGACTTGTTTTATTTTTCTGTTCGTTCTCTTTAATTGACTTACTTTATTTTATTCTATGTAGTTGAATTTGTTCCTTTATATAACACAAAAAAATACTTGAAATTTTAACTTTTAAGTGGTAATTTTTTTTATGACACACGTTAAGAAAAGAAAAAGGTGAAAGATGAAATTGATATCATAATCTCAACAATATATATATATAAATATATATATATATATATAAAAGATGAATTTGTTAGGGTTTTTGTGAGTAGAATGAGATAAAAATGGATCTTAGTAGGGGGAAGAACCCTCTTAGCATAAAAATTGCGAATTCTCTCTTTCCCTTGAATTTGTTACTCTTATCCCTCCTCCTTTTATGACTCAACAATTATTTTATTTTTTTTACTATGAATTTTTCTTTTTTATTTTTATATTATGAAATTAAGATTTTTTATATTTTAAAAAAAGAAAATTAACATAAGACATTGCAATATCTAATTTTTTAGGGTTTAGGATTTATGCCTTCATTAACTTATTTTTTAAAAAAGAAAATATTGTTAAAATATTTGTTAGAATAATTTATATTTATAAATATCGTTAAAAATTATCATATATATATATATATATATATATATATATTCTCTATATCTAAATACTTCTGTTTATATAAAAAAAATTATATATCTAAATATTTTTTCAGTATCGAATATACTAATTTTTTTATATAAAAAATTATCTTATGTTTCTATATTTTCGTTTTTACATTTTTTTTTATAATAACTGAGGTATTTGATCCATTTGGATAGCAAAAATATATTCGATCTTGTATGATGGTGTGCTTCTAAAAATAATAATATAATTTTATTGATTTTGTCTATTATCCGTAATTATTTATATAACTATTTTTTAACATATATTGTTTTAGTAATTCAAATGGGAGATTCACAAGGAAATAATAAAGAAAAATGAAAAGAGAAAGAAAACTATGAAGCTTGGATTAAGGATGATTCCGATGAATTGTTACAATTGATAGTGGATGCTATAAAAAGAGGATAGAATATTATAGAGAATTATTATTATTATTTATCTAGACATTATTTTTTTTATTTATTATTTTTATCTTTGACTCTTTTTAAATTTGAATGTATAATTTTTTTTAAATCTTATCAAATGTCAAAACTCCACAAAATCCCACAGAATCCATTAAAATCCTAATTTAAAAGTCTTGCAGAATCCATTAAAATCCTGATTTTAAGTCTTGTAGAATCTTGCAAAATCTTAAAAGTCATGAAAATCCTGCAAAGTCTTTTAAAATCCGCAGGATTTTTTTTAACTAAAAAAGTCCTTTAAAATCCTAATCCAATACACCCCCCTAAGTTGATTAATGCACTCTTATAATAAGTGTCTTTTTTAATTTTTTTGGAAAATAAATGTTAAATTAACTTTTCAAAATAATAATTATCTCTTTTTCATTTATACTTCCATAATATTTTTTAAAAAGAGATTATTTTTTTAAAAAGAGATTATTGTGTTACATTGATTTTAATAAAGAAGTTTAATCATAAACTTAATTTTGTAATCTTTTATTTATTTATTTTTTTAAAAAACAGCCTAAATCATGCTTATTATTTGATGAAAAGAATAATAATTAAGTATTAGGTCTTTCAAGTTAGTGTCTTAAGGATACTTCGTCTAGACTTATATGTAAGAAAACCGTTCAACCTTGTAGTTCATGCTTCGGCGCCACATGTCTATCGGGTTAAACCCATGGCTACGGACTATAGATATAGAGAAAGGTTCATGATATATACACCTTCTTATTTTTATAAGGACATCTCCTTTATTTTTTTAAAAAAATTATAAAATATTATAGTTTAATTCTTTTAATTTTTCTAATTTTATATCTCCAACTTTTAATTTATTACTTTTTTCTTCTTTTTCATAATTTTTTTTTTCTCTTTCAATTTTTACATGCTACCAAAATAAGTGGGGTGAAGGAAAGGTAAGGAGGTGTATGTAAAAATTAAAAAAAAAGTACTAAATTAAATGTTGTGAATGTAAAATTAAAAATTAAAAGTTAAAAGTTAAGAATATTTTAAAATTTTAATTTTTTTTAAAAAGGAAATGTACTTATATATATATATATATATATAAAGGTGTATATATCATGAACCTCCAAGAAATGAAAGCTGAAAATAATGAGGCCCAGTAGACAAAAGACACAGCCCAACTGATAACCCGTCAGGTGTTGGGTCATCACTTTCTTTTCTGTTTCGAATGTAAACAAGTGATTCATACAATCACATGTTGGTTCATGATATATACACCTCTCTTTTTTATAAGTACACTTCCTTCTTTTAAAAAAATAATAAAATTTTTAAAATATTCATAAATTTATATTTTTTAATTTTACACTCCAATATTTAATTTAGTACTTTTTTATTCATACACATCCTTCTCTCATTTTTTTTAGTTTTCACATATATTCCCTTAAATTTCCTCCATCTATTTTAATATATAGTTTTAATTCTTTTAGGTTTGCATTACTTTCTTTCCTCTCTTCTTTTAGTTTTTTCACTGCTATCTTCTCCTTTCCTTCTTTTATATACTTTTGAAAAGTACCTTTTGAAACACTAAATTTATTGTCATAGGAAATATTTTCTAGAAATATGTAAAAAAAAAATACAGAATTTTGAAAAGTTCTTTCCTAAACACTAATTTCACTATCCCACATAGTACCTCGAAATAGTAAAAATATCTTTTTCATAGCACTAAACTTAATATTAAGGAGTTTAATATTAAGCTTTTTAGAGGGGTGAAAGGAGAGAAAGTATCGGAAGAAACTAAATATGTGTCTAGTTCGGCAGAAATTGTCTAGGAAGTTACACGTACCTACAATGTTGTTACGTACTAGTTCTATGGTTTGAGTGTATGTGAAAAAGTGAAAGAGTTGAGCGAAGAAGAAAATAATATAAAAATTAAGAGAATTAAAACTACCTATTGAAATAGGTGAAAGATTGGAAGAAGATATTAGTACTAATGTGAAAACTAAAAAGAAGAAAAAAAAGATGTGTGTAAAAAAATAGAAAAAAATAGTAAATTGAAAGTTTGAAGCGTTAAATTAAAAAATTAAAAAATATAAATAATTTAGAATTAAAAAAAAAAACAATGGAGATATACTTATATGAAAAGGGAGGTGTATATCATGAGCCACAAAGAAATGTCGAAGCCCATAATCCATTTCTTTTGAAAAATCCAGTCCAATCAGCTGGAACTGGTATTTAAGGCCCAAGAAATGAGCGTATTCAGTAATTTCAACATGCATACATAAACACCTTTTTTTTTTTTAAGTACAAATGAAAATGAAGAAAAAAGAGTAAAGGTAATAAAAAAAAAACTAAACGACACTTAATTTACGTAAAGTTTGTATAGCAAAAGGTTTGATGTTTAGTTCTCAGTTTTCAACCTTTTGATTTAATTTTTTGTGGATTTAAAGTTTTATTTTTTTATGCAATAAAAGACACACTTTAAAGTTTAAACACATATACAAGCTTTTCAGCTGGATTTATCACACAGACACTCACACCAAACACCTGGAGACAAGAATAGGATTGGACTAAACCACCCAATC